TCTTATCCTCTTCAATATCTTTTTTAACTGCTGGTGGACTAAGACATTTTACTTCGGCCTTGTCCTTCTCCATATCATTTTCACCACATTTTATGTAAAGTAATGTGTCTCCTAACGTCACTGTTTCTTCTTTATAGTTTATTTTCGCTTTACTTTCTTTCAAATAATCTCTACCTATTAAAATGCCATAATTCTCAGAAAATTTATCCAATGTTATACTTTTATTTAATTTCATTGATCCATTTATTGTGAATACTTTTAATTTCTCATCCTGTTCTTCATTATTTCCAAAATATATATAAATTATACCCTTGCAGAGGGTATTATTATTTCAGTCAGAAGTTTGCAACGCAGTGAAGGAGACGTTTCCGACCCTATAAAGTATATATATTATTGATCGGCATCATTAGTAGAGTCGATCTAGCCATGTCCGTCTGTCCGTTCGTCTGTCCGTCCGTTTGTACGCAAACTAGTCTCTCAGTTTTAAAGCTATCTGCATGAAACATTCCCAAAAGTTGTCTTTCTATTGCAGGTAGTATATAACGATCCGGATCGGACGACTGTATAATAGAGTCGTTCATTATTAGTTCTTGGACATATAGTAATGGTTAAATACTTCAGAACTACGATTTAAATTTCATCAAAATCGGACGAATATAGCATATAACTCCCATAGGAACAATCGAAAAAATAAACAAAAAAAAATTATAACTTTGTTGTTTTTTAAATTTTTTTTTAGTTCTTGGAGATATAGTTATGGTTAAAAATTTCAGAATTACGGATTAAATTTCATCAAAATCGGACGACTATAGCATATAGCTCCCATAGGAACAATCATAAAAATAAATACAAAAAAATTATAACTTTTGTTTTTTTTTTAAATTTTTTTTTTTAGTTTTTTGAAATATAGTAATGGGTAAATATTTCAGAATTACGGTTTAAATTTTATCAAAATCGGACGACTATAGCATATAGCTCCTATAGGATCAATCGTATAGCTGCCATAGGAACTATCGTATAATTAAGCTGCAAATCATCATAACTTCAATGTTTTAAACATACACGCAAATCATTATTTAAACGTTTTAAAGAGTATTTAGTTTTTGAAATAGCTGCAAGGGTATATAAACTTCGGCTTGCTTTCTTTCTTGTTTGTCATTAAATTGATAGATGACCCTGTATCTATCATAGCTCTAAGAAGTTTTCCTTTAATCATTACTCTGACCTATGGGCAACACTTTCTGAATACGAGGCAATTTCTGTGCACTGTCATTCTCTCGTTGTCTCTTAACAGGTATATTCGGAGAATTATTGAACGTTGATGCCTGGAAATTTAAGGGGTTTTGGGCACTACCTTGATCTAGGTTTCTCCTATACTCATGAGAATTTTCCTGATTTTGAGGGGAAATTTGATTTCTGTTTGGTGAACTTTGAGGATTTGTTGAATTTGAATTATTATTATTTCTTCGATAATTATTATTGTTGTTTCTTGGATAGCTATAAGAATGTGAATTATTCCTCTGATAATAATAATTTTGATGTGTATTTCCCGAATTCCTTCGACTATCATTGCGCCTGGGTTTATAATTATCAAAAGGCCTGCATCCCAATGACCTAGGAACATTGCTGCAAGTGTTGTTATATCTTTTTTTTGAAGTTTCCTTTCGATACAATACCTAATTGTTTTCTTTAAAGAACTTGTGTGAATTAACTTATCTGTTGAATCTGATTCAAATTCTAACTTATTGTGTACATTTGATGATCTGGTTTTTAGTTCATTTACGAACTTACTGACGCTTCCTTGATAAGGGGTGTCACGAACGTGCTGTATGATGTCCTCGTGTCCTGTGATGCTTGAAAGCTTTTATTAAGGCCACTTTTGCTGTTCCCCATGTAATGGATTTTTCCTCTTCGATGACTGCTTGCGCGGAATCATTGATGGTCCTCTCAATAGCTCCATAGATGATGTGGATTTGACCAACATATTGAGTAGAGTAAAGTTGCAGTAAATACATATATGTATAAAAGATTCCCAAAAGTTGTCTTTCTCTTTCAGGTTGTATTTAAGTCGGAACGAGCCGGATCGGACTACTATAGCATATAGCTTCCATAGAAACGATCGGAAAACAAGAAAGGAAGCAAACTTCGGAAAGCCGAAGCTCATATACCCTTGCAGCTATAGCAAAAACTAAATATTTTTGAAAATATTAAAATTATGATTGACTTGCGTGTACATTTGCATTGAAGCTATTTGAAGCTTATTTTATAGTTCCTATGGCAGCTATATGATATCGTTTTCCGATTTTAATAAAATTAAAAGCGTAATTCTGAACTGTCAAATTATTAATTAACCATAAAGAATTTCTAAAAAAAAATACAAAATAAAAAAGTTAAATTTTTAAAAACTTTTTTTAAATATTTTTATTGCTTTAAGTTACAGTCGTCCGATTTTCAATTGTTCCTATGGAAGCTATATGCTATAGTCGTCCGATCCGGCTCGATCCGACTTATATACTACCAGCAATAGAAAGACAACTTTTGGGAAAGATTCATGCAGATAGTTTTAAAACTGAGAGACTATTTTGCGTAGAAACGGACGGACAGACGGACATGGCTCTCCTAGTTATGCTGATCAAGAATATATATACTGTATAGGGTCGGAGATGTCTCCTTCACTGCGTTGCAAACTTCTGACTGAAATTCTACCCTCTGCAAAGGTATAAAAAAGGCAAACGGTTTGTGCCCACACAAATTGTCACCGATACCAAAAAGCAAACGCGAGAACACCAAAGTCGATAAGGAGTCCACTATCAACTGATGCACAGACAATTATCATTGAGCGTTTTGCCGAGCAGAGTAAATTGATCTGGACCAATTTGCAGGGCTCGAAGCTAGGCGGAATGCAGAAAATGCGTGTGATTTGCAAGGAATTCCCTTAGTCGCTGGTAAAAGGCTGAGGTCCATTTTCAGCACAATGTGCCTCTCACCTTATTTAACAGAACCTTCAAGGGTTAGAAACATTTTCCGGGTGTGAAAGACATAGAGCAAAAATACGGCCGCTGTTGTAATTGTAAAGATGGAATCGGTACATGAGAAAATGCATTTGGTTTGGGCAGCTGGCGCTTACTGAAAGCAGGCAAAACAACTACTAAGTCTGCAAACGCTTGGGATATATTCAAATGCTGCAGTTTATGTAAATGAACAGTTTTCCAAAGAATGCTTGCTATTTTTAAAGAGACAATGCGAATGAAAACAGAGGTTGCTGCTGTTTTTACACGCCGGGGGACTGTATATGGGAGAAGCAGTGGAGACGGTGGCGGAATCGCTGCGTCGAAAGCTTTGAAGATCTTTCAACTCTATTAACACCCACTGGTTCTCTTAATTTATCAACAATTTATGAAAATGCATTGATATGAGGAGATAAAAGCTTTCGTACTGATAATAATTAATGTTTATGTAGAATCTTATTAGTAAGACTTATATACGTGTGAGTGTATGTGTTAAATATGTGGCAATACCGCCAAAGTCTTTGGTAATAATGCTGTTAGGTGTTATGTATAGTAGTATAAGAATTAAATTTGTCAAGTCAAAATAACTATGCAATGATACGAATTCTTTGAAACTACAAGCATGGTCAGCGATTTTCCATTTCAATGCTCAGAGTCATTAACGTAAAATGGATGAATGTCCCGGATACACACTTTATAGATCAGACCGCGAGGGCCATGCTGGAGGGGTAGCAATTTATAAAACTCTTAAATAAAATGTAAAGTTGTTAGTCAGCATGCATCCAATTGAATACATTTTCATAGAAATTTTAAACGTTAAGAATAATCGAAATTAAATATTAGTTATTAAATACTTAATTATTATTAATTAGAGACCGAACAGACAAAGAGAATAGAAGAATATTATTGAAGTATTTTCTAGAGTTTTCCTAAATTATTCTTAAACAGCAACATGCTTAATAATTTAATCTTCATGGTGACTTGGAGTTTCTGGGGGTAAACAGTTTGCTTGATGTATACTTGCTTTTCGATAAGATTTCTGACCGCACTGAGCAAACCTACAGATATAGAGAATACAAAAATGCTGATTGCAACCTCTGTGATGGGGATGATATATATGTCACCTGACAACAGTAGATACAAAACTCGGACTTCTTAACTTCAATATTGACTATTTATATATTTTGTAGGTAACTGTCAAAGAAAAGACCGTGAAAATTCATTGAAATAATGGTTTAACAATAATATTAAACAAGCCATTTTAAGTAGAGACAAAGCATACTCCAAAGACTGAAAACTTGCACAGAATTTTTAAAAACGAAAGAACAACAGTGAATAGGCTTATCAACAGCGCTAATCGTGAATTTTTATGGACAAGTCTGGAACGAAAAAATTTGGGGATTGGCAATATAAAATCTGTGATAAAAGATGGTATGCTAGGAAGTTCTTGAATATAAATGTACCTTATCCCGACTATAGTATGTGTGTGCCAACAGAGACCATCGATAGTGAAAATAATTGCTTAAATTTTGTTTTTAAGCCAGTGCGCTTCCGCTGCCACTTCTTATACATATATCAGAAGCTGTGCTTGCAACAAAAACATTCATGGTGGACGAATGCTGTTCTAACCGGTGTAGAACAACTTCGGAGTCAGACCAAAAGAAATTACGCTCCACTGCGAAATCCAAATTATCTCTTGCCAAAGTTTTGCCAACAAATGTGCGGCGCATAGCTTCAGCCTTGGAATTGTTTTAATTTTTAACGCAACTCTTGATTTCGTACACCGAGAAAAAAAAAACCGTTCTCAGCAGTCTCGATTTCAGTATTTCCGTGCTCAATAGTGAGCCAAGAACGGATTTATTGAAATCAAGAAGACATTTTCTTAGATCGAGACTGCTTTTTTACTGAAATCGAGACTGTTGAGAACGGTTTTTTTGTTCAATAAAAATACCAAATCCCAAAAACAATTTTTTTTTTGTTTCTCTTTTATTTTTTTTTTTACATATATATTCGAAATTATAAATCTAAATATCATTTAATCTTATAGTTTTGTTTATCAATTTTTAAGACATAAGTATGAAGTGGAGGTGTGAAAAAATTGGAGAGCTCGTCCAACAAATTTGTAAAGCTGTTTACTTGAAGGTTGATTTTATTGTTTTTCATTTAAGATTAAGATTAATGAGAATGCCTCTTTGCTTTTCAGTCAGTATTTTACATGCTAGAAGTTCTTTTCCAGCAGCCGTTCCACTTAAAATTGAATTCAAGCTCTATGAAAAATTTGTAATTATAATTAATATTAGACTCAGGTTATTGGTTATCAATTATACTGAATAAATACATAATTATTACATCTTAAAGACTCATACCTTGTTAAGAGTGTATTTGAATTAAGGCGCATTAGACGGCAACGGAGATAAAAGTGCTGTCGGTGCCTTTTGTGGCGATGGCTTTAGAGACGATGGTTGCGAAGATATTCCTTGAGTAAACTATAAAAATAAACAAAGAGTTACCAAGAAATTTGGAAAGAGAGATAATAATGTATTACCTTTGTTTTCCTCCAAGCGAACAGCTTTTCGCGGAAGAGTACTCAAATTCCGATTGGCGGAATCGCCTCCTTAATTTCCTCCGCGGTGATATATTCCAGACAGTCGAAATGTACACCGGCGCCTAGAAAAAAATAATTAAACAGTATAACAATTTTTATACTCAAATTTCAAAACTAACTTGTCTAAAAAAATATTGTTTAAAAAATTTGAAGCGTGGCTCTGCTACAAAAAGTATTTATTTAAATTTATTTATTTAAATTTAACACGAGTTGTAAAATATCAATTTACTGCAAGTCGTGCTGCTGCAGTCCATGTTTCCTTTCGATTCTTATTCTCTTACGTCTTGCAAATGCTCGCATACTTTCTCGTTTGTATGTATGTACGCCTGTTGTGCGAGCATTTGCAAGACGTAAAAGAATAAGGATTAAAGGAAACAAAAAACACATACAGTGGCGACTAAAGTCTACATATGACCCCTTTTTTTGGAGTTTAGCCAGCTCTGTAGAGTTTCCAATAAAATTAATGATGCAGTCTTGTTTTAAATTTAATTATAAGACGAAAACCAAAATATCGTCTTTATTTAACAATAACTTTCGAAGTTATTAACCAAAGACTGAAAAAAGGCACTGACAAACAAACGTTTTGTTAGACAGCTGTTTCTGGTATTCCTTTTAGCTTATAACTAACGGTAAAGTACATACATGGACTGCAGCAGCGTGATTTGCAGTAAATTGATATTTTAAAACTCGTGGTAAATCATTCGTTCTACTAAAGCACGTGTTAAATAGTAAATTTAAGCATTCGAAACACGTTTATTTTGTTCACAAATAAATTAATACAATCACACTTGCTTAAATTAAACGAAAATTATTATATAAAATATTTTTTATACATATATGGAAATAATAATAGTTATATACTTAGTTTTCATTTTATAAAATATTTATTACTTACCTTGCAAGTATCGCTGTGCCTCCAACAAATCAAACGAGACCAATAAGTCGAACAACCGGTCATCTATTGTCTCCGTCTCCATGCTTCCACTTTTCAACACTCAATCAATAAAAACAAAACTACCCCGTTTCGCGGCCGAAAATTTTAAAGGGAAATGACAAAGTATACTTCGGTAACTTTCCGAACAATTTGAGAGAGAACTTCTCTCCCAATTTTTATCTCTTTCAATTTATTTTACGTTTTAGACTAATTTCTTCTCGAGTTTAAGATCTTTTATTTTCGAGTTCAAGATCTTTTCTTCTCGATTAGCGAAATCGAGAACAAAAAGAAGAATTTCTCCTCGATTTTAAGAACGATTCTTCTCGATAAAGAGAGAAGTAAAAATACTGAAATAGAGAAGATTTGCTCTAGGTTTTTTTGTTCTCAAATTTTCTCGGTGTAGTGATGAGCCCGACTGAAATTACGTCGGTTGTAACTACATGCGCATACACGCGCATACAAACAGCAGCCAAATGCCGAAACCATTTATTTCCAACATAGACTCAAATCTTCCGGAAGCTTATCGTCCCAGCCGTGCTTACGCAACCAAAGTTATTGTATAAGTATTTTAGCTTTCCATGTTGGGCTTAGTAAACCCAGCGGGTCGTAAAGGCACGCTGAGAAAGACAAAATAGATCGCTTTGTGAAAATTTTGCTTGGACTTACAGGTATTAAAGGCATCTGACGGCTCGGTAGGGCGCTGATGTCGTCCCATATGTAATTGTATTCAGTCGATATGCTTGCACATGTTCTCTCCATGCAATCATCTGGTATTGACGCAGACTCTCATCGATCTCAAACTGCCGATACATTTTTGTTATGTCTGCAGATATTGCGTATGCGCGAAGACTAAAGCGTAACAACATAAAAAAGGGAGATGGTTGAATTATGGCCCAACCATAAGCAAATCATTTAAATTGGTTGGTTAAATAATTTCACGATGCGATGCGTCCAATAAAAAACTCGAGCTACTTGATACTTCCCAAGGCGCCCTTTTATTTTAACGAGGACTGTGGCCAGCACTACTTGGCCTGCGTTTACTGACCGGGCATGATTGACAAACACATCAGGAACTATTTTTGAATTCGCTGCGGTACCTAAAGTTGGTTGTGGCGTGCTAGACTGAGTCGAAGTGAAAACATAACGATTTAGCAAACTATTGTGAGGCTTATTAAAGACTCGGCCCTTGGCGAATTTAAAACGGTTGACAACCGAAAGCGCAGTGAATGAGGAACAGGCAGTGATCGCGTAATCATTTGACTTACAGATCACACACTTGTTGGTCTGAGGATGCTCCGTTTGATTAACTGTTAATAATGAAGTAATGCTCTTAATCTGCCGGTTATCTCGATAAGCCTTATTGGTTTTCCTTTATTCGATGAAGAGTCAATCAAAGTCCTCAACGTCGAAGCAGACGGACTGAAAAAGCAAGATAAATCAAATAGCCTTGAAACACATTAGGCACTCATTATCAGATACACGTTTTAACGCATTGAGAGCCTTTGGGTAATTACTCTTCGTTACCTAAAATGCCTTAACTGTGTCCAATGCTTATTGTTGAAGACAGCCAAGCAAATGATTAAATTTCTCTACGTTTGGTAGTTTATTATCACCATGCACAAAAGTTTTGAAAAGCCCAATAAAGTTGTTTTACTGTCTATGAAGCCCGCCGGTTGTATTGAGTGTGTTGTCTCTTAAGTCTTGTTGTTGAGTTGGGCTTCTAAGAGATTGAAGAAGAGCCGGAGTAGTAACACATAAATCTTCCAGCTCTTTACTGGATGACAACTCCGAGTTAATTTTATTTAAAGGACTCTGTATATTAAATGGCTGTTCCACGTAAGCGTTAAGCCCATCTAATCGACACTCTATCTGCACTGGTATCTTTCTAGGGTTCCTTTTGTTATTGATGCTTTAGTTCGCGTTATATTGTTGACAAGAATATCTTGCTGCTGCGGAAGTTCCAATTCATCGTCATCATGTACCCAGGAAGAGTTTTTACCAGTGCGTTTTTTGGGAGGCATGATATCAGTTTATTTTATACGAGAAACTTATTGACCTACTCTTTTAAGTCTCACTACGTGTAAGCCCAAATTCAAAAGAACAATTTTAATATTTATTGCCACAAACTAAATTCCAATTTGATTAAATTGCTCAAATAACACTGCAATATGTTACCTGGTATTGAGTTCTGGCGTTGCAAACTTCTGACTGAAATTATAATACCCTCTGCAAGGGTATAATGACTAATTAAACACTCTTCAACAAAGAAATAAACGGAAAATTGATTTGTAAAATATTATCAAAGGTCAAATAGTGATATTAAAAGATGAAAATTGTCACCTCGTTAGATGGCCTTTGGAAAAGTAGAAGAGGTACATAAAGGAAAAGACGACCGAGTTAAAGTAGTGAAAACAAAACTTCAAGATGGTTCAATTTTAAGACCGATTACGAAAGTTTTCCCTTTAGCTGGAATTAAAGCCGAAGAAAGTAAATCACCTAGTCTTTTGAGACAGACAAGGGGGCTCAAAAAAGCCCCAGAATCCATAAACTTGGAGTAATGGCGATAATGTTATTCCTAGTGCTAATTTTTAAAATATATACTCCTTTTTTTATAGCGATTTTAAGACGCAAATCTTTCGTGGGCCACCCAGTATTTAGATCCGATGGGAAACGTCGAAGTCATAGCATCGTCTTGGGATCTAATTGTGTATTATAACATGGATCCGTATTTCGATATGATAAAAAGGAGAAAAAATGAGAGAGGAGAGAGGATTTTAGCGAGCTCCATTTGAGTTAATGGGCTCCCTTTATCACATACTTTTTGTATAATGGACGCTGAAGATAGAGAAAACTTAGAGGCCAACATAAAAAACCACTTAGAGAGTCAAGAAAATAAGTCAGATTTAGTAAAAAGGCAAACTTCTGTTGTAGAGTCGACATTGAATATCATTAAAAAAAACAACGGATGAAGTCAACTCAAACTTTAGGAGCATATAACGAGAATAAAAAATATAACTCAGGTTTTGAATGAAAGCTACTATGTTTATAAAGAGTCAATTCAGATTCAAGTAGGAGTAATTAACCTACTCATAGATATTAACCATGGTAGATTCAATGAAATTTATACTTTATTAACGGCTAAGGTAATTGTTGTAGATAATAAACTAATTATGAATGTAAAAATCCCCATATTTGGTAGACACCTTTCCCATTTGTTTAGAGTAGTCCAATGCCAGTGAAAACCGAGAACGATGTAATTATTGAAGATTTAAATTCAAAATATGAGTGAGATCTCTCCTTTTAAACCAAATAGTCATTATTGTATTTAATTGTGTTTATAAAAAAATCCCTCAGGAAAGTTCTTACTGGGTTGAGTTAGAAGAGAAAGGTAGTTGGCTATTCAAGGTTTCAGAACTAACAAAGGCTAGGATACAATATAATAATTTTCCACAAGAATTCTTACTATCGCATCTGGTTGCACTATAAGAACATATGACAAAATATCAATAGCCCATCACAGTTTTAAATCAGAAAGTAATGAGCCAATAGCAGTTTCTTATTTAAGTACCATAGGTAAGATTCCAAGTGTTGTTTGCAATCCATTAACATTACCTGTCATTAACTATAAGGAAGAAATAAATAAATTAAGAAATGAATTAAAAGAAATAAAAGAAAATCATTATGAAATAAAAGGATTTAATTTTCATCATATTTCAGGTCACGAACCTTTAACGTAGGATTAATAATCATGTTAGTTTCAATTGTATATATGATAATCTTGCTAATAATCTTCTCTTTGCAAAATGTTCACACATGAACATGGCATTGTATTTAAGATCACATTGTTTACCTAAATCTTAAAATACCAATCTGTAATCCAAAATAGTGAGATGCAATGAAAAGCAGAGCTGGTTGAACAGAGCTCTAATAATTTCACCTCCCATGCACGGCACGCCATGCATACGGAGGTCAGACAAATTAGTTGTCATGCTTTGTGCGCAAAGTTTTGCAAGTGGCAAGTGGCAATTTTATTGGTATACTCCTGCGGGCCTTCCCGTAGTGATGGGGACATTAAATCGAAGTGTTACTGAAGGCTACGGTGAGTAAGGCCATAAGCTGCACTCAATGGCAGTCCCAGCGTTGTTGCGGTGTCGCTAGTTGGCTTTCGAAGAAGAAGACATTATGAGGTTTTATTTTAGTTTTGCAGTTACCAGTTCACTTCTTTCTCTGCTTGTTTGTCGTTTTCGATGTGCAGTTGTTGTTGCAAACTGGAGGTTCTACTTTGCCAATAAGAATTTATTTTTTTTGAAGAAATTGGCCACAAGTGAAGTTTCAAATAATTCTCAACAAGGCCAAGTGTTTATCTATCGAATGGTACAAAAACCGACTTTTAATAAAGTTTTTCGCTGTTTGTTTATATTAATCACGGAGCGACTGACTTAAGTTAGTTTTTGTTTGTTGTTTTTTGGCTAGATCGACTCTTCTAATGATGCTGTTAGGATCGGGAATGTGTCCTTCTGACTGAAATTAAATTACCATTTGTAAGGAGAAAGATATCTGGCCCTATAGAACATTACAATTTGAATAACTTCATCGTTTTTAAGATATTTGCTTACATCTTGCTTATTTTTTTGAAAAGTATCTGATTTCAAATAAGTTTGCTTAAATTAAGATTAGTCTTAAATTTAATACTTAACAACTATTTAGTAAAAATGTTTTTTCATTAACCTGAAAACATTTTGTTGTGGCATTTTCCTCAACAAATTGGTGGTGGATACTTTTCGGATGAAATTCTTGCCTAAGCAGCGTTAACTTCTCCAAACTGAGAAAAGTAGCCGTTTACGTTGCTTAATAACTTTCGAAAAGATTCATGCAGAAAAATTTGTTATATATTCAGACGTTGTTACACTATGATCAGTAAAAACAAGTGGTCCTTACGACACTAAGCAAAGCTTGTTACGCGCGGAGCCCTCTTCCCCTTCGGGCGTAAAAACGAGATAGCTGCCAACTGTTGTCGAGTGCTGCCGTGCGCTCCGTCATCTTGCTTGCACAACTTTTGTATAAAATTTAATTTTTTTTAAATTATATTTTTGTATACCAAGGAAATATATTTAAGCAGTAATTGCTGAAGATTAAGCTACCTCCTACCAATCAGAAATTATTAAATAAAGAGTAAGTGCTATTTTTTTTTAAAAAAGGCACCAAAATATACTTTTTAAACCCCTTTGCCATCCGTAAAACTTCGAATTTCTCAAAGCAATAATTACTTTATGTTGGGGACCGTGAGAAGCTTTGAAATCATCTCGAACTCCAAAATACTTTAGAAACTTCGCAGAAGGATCGGTAAGCAAAATCACTGATTTTAAGGCATAGCGGCAAAAACACCCATCTTGATAATATTCTTATGTTTTATAGTTTTGTATGGGGGGTATAATTATGATAAGTAGAACAAGGAAACAGAAAATTAATTGATTAACCTCATATTTAATTACCGCACTGTTACCCAAAGAAAAAAAGGGTTGTTGTCAAACCCACTACTGGGAGTGCAAAGTACTTACAAAAATGAGGTGCACACATATTATTAAATGTGTGGTGTCTATGCTTCATTGTTCAGTTTTTGACAGGACAGTTTTATGGCAATCGGATCCTGAGCATAGATATGTCTACTTTATTTTAAAATAAGTTGACATATAGAAAAAAAAAGTCCAAGTGCATCCTAAATATTTTTTTATAGGTATCAACCCTTGTTTTTTATGAAAAAATATCAATTGTATACATTTAAAAAGCATTACCAGTGCTTCAATCCAAGCGACGAGGAGGCGTTCTCTGGACGTTCTTAAAAATCGTGAGGGTCCTACCAAATATTAAAACAAGAGAGAACGCTATAGTCGAGTACCCCGACTATTAGATACCCCTTACTCTGCTTACAAATTTTAAACAAATATACTCCCAAAAAATATGGGGCTTCAGGTGGCGTCTTTGGCCGAACTACATACATTGAAAACACTACAAGCTAGGAGCGAGCAGCACTACTTCCCCCGCTACAGCGTTTCTTTTCTTATGCATAGCAGGGCAGAGTACACACGAACATTATAAAACCACACATACATTGACAAGTTTCCCCGTGCAAATTTCTCACACACATTAAGTGCGAGGATCTAGTAAGTGTGCTTTCCGCTGTTCTTCGGGCACTAGCTCCGTTTTTCGAACATGCAGTTACGTCACCAAACATAATTGCCAATAACTTCTAAAAAAAAACAAGAAAGAAAGCAAACTTCGGCAAGCCGAAGTTCATATACCCTTGCAGCTATTGCAAGAATTAAACGTTTTTGAAAACATTAAAATTATGATTTACTTGCGTATATGTTTAAAAACATTGACGCTATGATGATTTGCAGCTCAATTATTAGATAGTTATTTTATATATTTTTATTATTTCTATGGGAGCTATATGATATAGTCGTCCGATTTTGATAAAATTTGAAGCATAATTCTGAAATAATTAAACATTGCTATATGTCGAAGAACTAAACAAAAAATTAAAAAACAGCAAAGTTATAATTTTTTTTCATTTTTTTTTCCGATTGTTCCTATGGGAGCTATATGCTATAGTCGTCCGATTTTGATGAAATTTAAATCGTAAATCGGAAATATTTTACCATTACTAAATGTCGAAGAACTAAACAAAAACTTTTAAAAACAGCAAAGTTATAATTTTTTTTCATTTATTTTTCCGATTGTTCCTATGGGATCTATAGGCTATAGTCGTCCGATCCGGCGCGTTCCGACTTACATACTACCTGCAATAGAAAGACAACTTTTGGGAAAGTTTCATGCAGATAGCTTTAAAACTGAGAGACTAGTTTGCATATAAACGGACGGACAGACGGACGGACAGACGGACATGGCTAGATCGACTCTACTAGTGATGCTGATCAAGAATATATATACTTTATAGGGTCGGAAACGTATCCTTCACTGCGTTGCAAACTTCTGACTGAAATTATAATACCCTCTGCAAGGGTATAATTAAAACTCGATTTTCAAAATACACATACACAAAGTCAAATACCTGTGGTCTTACATGTCTCTGAGCGACATGACAAACTTTTGAAATAAATTTGCGCTACGTGAGAAACACTAGAATTGGCATGCCAAACCCAAATCTCTAGATCTTAAGAGCTCGACGTTAATACGGACGGACAGACAGACCGTCATGGCTAGATCGATTCGGATAGTGATCATGATCAAGAATACGAGTATTTATACTTTATAGGGTCGGAATCGCTTACATTTACCTGTTACATACAAATACAATATACCCTTTTGTCCTGCGAGTAACGGGTAAAATAAGTATTTTGATTTATTTACTTGCCATATTTCACCAAAATGATACGTCATCGTACACTTTCTTCAAGGAAAGCATTTTTTTTGTCATTCTTTGACAATTTAATTAATTTTTATTAAATTATAGTGCTATGTTTACATCTCAATTGTAACTCTTTTAATAATTGAATATAAAATAAAAATCGAACAAAAATGGAAGACCGCTCAATATGAAAGATGCGTTAAATAACTGGGGTTATAAAATGGCTCACATACGGGTACTTTCCATGCCACATCCCAAGGCGTCGCTGTAAAGTAAGGCACTGCCACTTCTTCCACAGTGACGTCCTTTGCTGCTGCTGCAGTTATTCTCGTCGACCCTTAATCAGCTATCCTTGGATGTGGATTGGAGCAGCTCATCTTCATCCAGGTGGGCAAGAGTCGCGGGACATCCGACGTCTATTGCAGTCACTCGATTGACACCGTCCGCCGCTGAAGGAAGCTTGATAAGCTCGCCCTCCGAGTGCACTGGCATAATGATGCATACAAAGCCTTGTCCCGTTTGAATGTCACGCGGATGCAGAGTCACTGGGTTGAACTTGTCGCTCTGGCCTTCGCTGTAGGCCTGCAGGCGCTGAAATATTTCCGGATAATGTTTGCGTAACGTGACACCGCGCCTTGACAGGATGTCCAGAATGTTGGAGAGGATCAGCTCTCGATTGTAGTGCAACGAGCGCTGGTCAAAGTTGAAGGTGAGGATGAGGATCTCTGTACGCTCTGGCACATCCACTCCCGACGGCGGATGCTGGAGCTCCGTCTGCTTTTTCTCCAGATCGACCATCATCGTCTTACAGAGCTTCAGTTTGGCGCAACGGCTGACCAGTTGACGCTCCCAGCGCACATGCCCGGTGCCTCGGACACCACGCAAATGGCCATGTAAATTAGCATCTCGGTCTCCGGTTTGTACTCTGTGCTGAGTTTAAGGAGCTCAGAGTACAGTTCCAGTCCCATTTCGGCGGGCATAAGGTCCGGCCAGCGCACGTAATTGGCCTCCCCATGCACTGGAACCCTTTCTTAATGAAGCCTTCAGCGGCCTCGGCACTGCGAAAGAGCACCCGCACCACGCCCCGCCCCTGTGAAATGCTTCCTTTGCGCGCCAGCAGACTAAGGTGGCGCTGCGAGTCTAGGTCGTCTTTGCAGGTAGCTAGCACCTGGCGACAGAGGTTGGAAGCGCGCGAGTGCAGGCACGCCTTGCGATGTTTCTCCCAGTGGGCTCGTCGACATTCACGCGAACAGTATAGATGGGAACAATTATGGCATGACTTGAAGAACTTCTTTGCACCGTTTGGCGAGGAACTTTGTTCGCACTTCGTGTTCCGGCAGCGGATTTGTTGTTCCAGCCCCGCTTTCGGATCCCCGTTAAGCTGTCCCTCGCTTAATAAGCCCGGATTTGTATTTGTGGACGCGGAGTCGTGCAACGAGACCCCTCGGCTTTCCCTGAACATATTTTGCTGGCCACTTATTCCTGCTACAACGGACTGCGAATCGGACTGTGAATGCGTTTCAGGCTGGCCCTTGCGAGGTTGATTTTTCTGTTTAGGGGCGTTGCCTTCGCTGTGACGACGAAGCCGCAGCTGCTCGGCCGCCGATAGGACTTCCAATTGCTGACGATTAGCTCTATCTGATTCTGTGGAAAACAAAATACATCGGGATTAGTTGGTACAAATTCCTGTTAGAGTTTTGTACACATGAACAACAGAAAAGAGACTTCCAGTAAAGTTTACCAAATACAAGTGCTTATTGGGGTGGACTTCTTCTGAACATTTTTAAGGTCATACTCTTAGCCCCTTTTTATAGCTTTGGCGTGACCTTAATGCATAAAAGAAATTAGAAGTTTAGAAGTTGGCGGTGCGAAAAGTATTTTTGAAGTACATTTCTCATACGCACGTTTGCCTTTTCTTACATATTTTATTTGTATAAGGATACGTTTGACACTTTTCCAAATTTCTTTTTCAGCTTAATGATTAATTTAATTTTTTTTACATAAAACTAACTAAATAAATAAATTAAATGCACATTAATTTCCAAAAGTCTTAACGCAAATATTGAAAGCTTATTCAAACTTAATGAAACCAAACAAGATTTCTTTACCAAATATGTGAGCGCCACAGAACTTAGACTTCCGCTGCTTTTTATAGAATATGCACATGCACCAAAAATATATATCAGATCTCGTAAAAATTAGTCTCATTTGTGATTGCTATCAGAAAAAACCAGGGAAAGACGGCCTAGTAAAGTTACAAATTATTATTTTCTCAGCTAAAAAACTTCAAACTAAAATTTTCCCACAAAAAAATAGGTGACTCCATCTGTCGAATTGCATTGCCAACACTAAGATAAGAGCGTGCAGCACCCCTGCCCCTTGCTAACAGTTCTCTGAATCTGTCTTTCTACATCAGCGATCACCAGGCCCTATCTAATCCAGTAGCAGCAGAGCGGCGGCAGTAGACTTAAAATCGTTATATACCCTTGCACCTATTGCGAAGATTTAATATTATTTTAAACATCTAAATTTCGATTATATGCGTGTATGTTTAAAAACATTAAAGCTATGACGATTTTAAGCTCAATTATTCGATCGTTTCTATGGCAGCAATTTGAAATCGTTTTCCATTTTTAATAAAATTAAAAGAGCAATTCTAAGATTTTAAACCAATACTATGTCCAAAACAAATTAAATTTAAATACATTTTTTTTTCATTTATTACTTTAATTGAATGAAATTTCAATCGTAATTCTGACATATTAAACCAGTATTTGTAACGAGTACGTGGCTAGGATGTTGTTGCATGACGACAAGGACGCACGCGCGACGGTCCAGCTGTTCCTTGTCGGCTATTTGGGGTGGTGATCTTGTCCTTCGTCACGAGCCAGTAAATTCTAAAATTTTATCGAATTTTCGCGTGCAGCGACAAGTGGTATGGGGTAGGAAAAATCATGTGAATCCGCGCCAGCACGAAGAGGGATAGTTATTATTATTAATGGAATTCCTAAAGTTCCTCGGGTGTTCTAACGGAACCACATTTGCCCTCCCTGCCTTGGCCGTTCTTTACCGAAAACTCCCCATCACATTATCGAACGGCCCCTTCTACTGACTCGGGTTCTACCGGGGACTCATCCTAGTCGAAGGCAAACAAAAATATAACTTAGCCAACCATTATAAAGTATATTTAAAACCTAATTCAAATTCCTAAAATTAGAGAACATATTGAAAAAATATTAAATGAGAACATAAATACATGCAATACAATTGAATTATTAAATTAATCTTCGAAGTAAGATGGTAATACGAATTAAAACCAAAAAAATATTATTCGAGAGTGAGAATGCGGAAATGGCAGAAAATTGCAGTGATAAGCTCACGGCGAAATCAAATTGAGTGGTTTGTTTTACTTATTTCGAAATTCTTCTCACTCAAAAATTTGAGAGACAAGAGAGATGGTAAATCCGCTCCCTTTTTTTTTTTCTTCTCCTTTATGGACTATTCGAACTGCTAGGTTTTGTACGGTGGGACGCGTAATAACTCACTTGATATATATATTTTACAAAGACATATTAATAAAACGTGATATCTGACTCACCAACATTCCGGAGATCCACCGACGAAAGCGCTTCCGTAGGTGCACCTTAGGCTGAAAATTCAAATTTCTTTATATATGTACACTGCAAGCCCACTGTGCAAAACAACAGTAAATTTTTTCTCTTCTTTTCCGTTGCAGTTCTTCCCTTCCTTTTTTACACATTGACTTGTTTGTCCACCGAAAAAAAATTAAAATAAATAATGCTTAAAGCAATTCGTGCTTCTAGCTATTCATTGTTAAAGCCTTTCTGGCCTTCTAACTATCACTGCACTTTCCTTTTCTTTTCCTTTTTTTCTTACTCTTTCACTCTCACTGGCCTATTTCACATAACCTAGACAACAAAAAAAAAAGGAAAAAAACTTATAAAATAGCTTATAAACTATCCACTTTCGGCAAACTCCGACCGATCTTTGGCTTTCTGAACTGCCTTACATTCCGTGCGGCGACTTAACAATTATTCCGTATTGTTATAAACCGAGTTAAATTGAATTTTTGTCGGACCGTGGACCGAAGCGTCTAACCTAGATCAACCTAACCTAGATAACCGAAAAACTGCCTGCCAAGCTGAGCTTCGCTAAGTTACGATCGCAGGCGGGAGATAACGAAGATGATGAAGAGGGAATATAAATATTATATGTAATTTGGGCAGGTGTTACATCTCGAGTTCTTTTTGACTCTTTTGCCCTCTCTTTATCCTAACTCCGCTCCCAGCGACTTAGGCGGATTAAATAATTATCTCAGGGGACTCTTAGGCCTTTGAGACCCCTTATGCGACAATAATTTCCCTCCCGTCGGATGACTTCGCTCTTCTTTTGGGTGTCTTGATGAATTGTTCCCTCTACAGCAACGGCCGGATCCAATATCGGATACTAAGCGCCAAACCAAAATCAAAAAACACTTTTGGGTCTGCAATCCAGCCATTTCATTTCTTACCCATAAACAGGATTTAGCGCTATATCGAATCCGGAAATTCTACCCGTCACTTTACACAAGGCCACTATAGAGATATCATTTTCAACCAAACTCTCACCAACTAATTAAGTACGAGACTTACAATTGAATTAAACCGCACTCGATGGCTGCCCAAAAGGGAAAGAAAGCCAGCAGATCGTGGCTCTGGGCGGGAAGCTAAATTAGCCCCCCATAGAATAACTCTTCGTTTTCCGGGATCATGACAATTGACTCTGTTGCCTCTTCGTCTCCGAAAATTCTTACCCCAATCGCGGCACCCAACTGACCACTAGATGGCGACACTTTCGGTTTTTGCCTCATAGATGGCACTGCCCATCGATTTACCTGCCACAAGCGTTACAAATTCCCCCCTCACAAGATCAGACTTGGGGGTGAAAAACACAAGGCTGACCAAAACTGAGCTTGAGGCAGCTACATTACTGTTTCATATCCTTAGCATGATATCTACCCATTAATCGCCCCTGCAAGTCTTCCAGATCATAGTAAGCATTTCCCACCTTCTGGCGTACCCTGGCCTTAAGATACCTCGGACCCAATTTAGCATTATAGCCTGCTTGGAAGTTGCTTTGCCTGAAATTCTTTAGAAATACTTCTTGCCCAAGGTCATAGGAAACGTCCTTAGCCCGCAGATTATAATGTCGCTCGTTTTTCTCATTTTGCTTTTTCATAACTTCGACAGCTCTATTCCGCACTAACTCTAAAGAATCTTCTCTAGAAAATAGCGCAGAACGATCATCCAGCAACTCCAAAGCTCTTAGCAGCTTGTATGTCGATCCGGAATTTATAAAATGCTGGCCAAATACCATATAATAGGGTGTCGTTCCCAGAGAAGAGTGTACCGCAGATCTTAATGCACAGCAAATGCTGCTCAGCTCTTCGTCCCAATTTTTCTGATCGGGCCTAACATATGATCGTATACGCGTTACCCGGTGGTTCCGAAGAAATTTTTGAAACGCATCTGATTTAAATTGTGACCCATTATCCGAAATAACCGTTTCTGGCACTCCAAACGTATGGAACAGGTCAGTTTGCAGATATTTAATCACTACGTCCGCATTTAGTTTCTTGACTGCTTTTAAGAACACAAACTTCGAATAGTGGTCCAATACGATAAAAATGCCTATGTTACCGCTTTTTGAACGTGGATATGGACCCAGGAAATCAACATATAACCTCTGAAAGAATCTTCCCGACTCTGGTGGTACCCCTAGCAGAGGTCTCTGAACTGTTTTAGGAGCCTTAGTCATTTTACACGTATCGCAAGAAAGAACATGGGCCTTTACATCATTTACCAGACCAGGCCAATAATAATATCTTCTAACACGCTCTAAAGTTTTATGTATCCCTCCGTGCGAAGCCATGGGATGATCATGAGCATTCTTTAAAACTTCCTGAACTAACCCCTTCGGGATCCATAACTTCCAAATAAACTCGTCGTGAAGTGAATCTCCTGTGGCGTAATCCATTTTCTTGTACGCCAAACCATAGGTAACCTTTATATCTGGCAACTTTTCGCTGTTCGCTCTTAGTCGGTCCACAAATTCCACATACTCTGGAGATTTAAATTCTGCCGATTCCAAATCCACTAACAATCCATGTCCAGCATCTAACGCAGCCATATTTTCCTCGTTTACTCGAGACAGCGCATCCGGGACAACATTTAACTTTCCGCTGCGATGCTCAATTTTAAAATTGAATCCCTGCAGTTTCAGAGCCCATCTAGCTAAACGAGAATGTAAATCCGTTTGAGTCATAAGCCATTTAAGGGACGCATGGTCAGTAATAACTGTGAACTCATGACCCTCGATATATGCCTGGAATCGTTTAATGCAGACTAGTGCGGCCAGGCACTCCTGTTCACTAACTGAGTAACATTTTTGTGTTTTATTTAATTTTTTTGACACAAACGCTATCGGATACTCATCACCCTCAGCTGTTTTCTGCACTAAAACTCCCCGGAAACCAGTTTTACTAGCGTCGCACTGCACAAAAAATGGTTTATTGAAATCTGGACTACGAAGAACTGGCGCCGAGCATAACATGTTTTTTAACTCTTTAAAGGCCTGTTTTCCTTCCGCCGTCATGGCAAATTTCTGCTTCGGCTTTAACAAATCTGTTAATGGGGAAGCCACAGATGCAAAATTCTTAATAAATTTCCGATACCAGCCTACCATTCCCAAAAATCTTCGCAGACTTTTCAATGAATTTGGTAGCGGAAAGTTTGTCATGGCTGAGATCTTATCGGGATCCGTTCTTATTACACCCTCTCCCACAATATGACCCAAATATCTGACGGATCGCATGCAGAACTTGCTCTTTTCGACGTTAAGAGATCAACCCAGCCACCTTTATCTCCAATACCTTTAAATGCGACTCAAAACTATCTGAGACAACCAATAAGTCG